GGGGGGGGGTCACCACAGCATGAGGAACTGTATTAAAGGGTTGTGGCATTAGAAAGGTTGAGAACCACTGAACTAGAATGTTGTGTGTTCCCTCGGTACTATGCTGCACCCTGGCTGACTCATTCCTTCCTTGTGATCCTTTTGTGAGGAAATGTCCAATTGTCTACAGATGGGCTTTGGGTCTCCACTCCGATTCCCATCATTTGCATTGATACATTTGTATGTTCTGGGTCTTCTGATGCCTGAAATCTGATCGCATGGGCACCTCATGATCATACAGGCTGGTGTGCTTCTTCCATGTGGACTTTGTTGCTTCTGAGCTAGATGACTGCTTGTTTAACTTCAAGCCTTTAAGATACCAGATGGTATATCTGGGCACTATCAGCTTTCTTCACCACATTTGCTTATGCACCTGTTTTGTCTTCAGCGATCATCTCGGGAAGGTGAGCACCACAGAATGCCAGGTTAATAGAACAAAGAGTTCTTGGGTTAAGGAAGGGCTTGAGTAGAGGCCCAATGTCTGTCTGCTACCTTAATACTTAACATATAAATATATGTACATAGACCTATATCCCATTTGTTGTATATTAATATACTTATATATGTGCATGCGTATATTTAGACCTCTATAAATGTCTTTTGCCTCCTAGTTCTTTCCTCCATTTCCTTTTACTTTCTTCCTGTTGCACTATAATGTTTGGCCTTCATTCGGTCTCTGTAGTTCCTCTTGGCTACATTGCACTTGATCAAGCCCCACCAGGCGTTCTACACCCTCCTTGTCATCCATTTTAGATCTCTTTTAGTTCCCTTGTCCCTGAGTTTGTGCTGCTACACCCTCCCTTTCCCTGCCTCCTCCTCTCCCATGGTCCCGTTATTTTCTCCTCGGGATTGTTTATCTTGCCTATCTTATATAGATAGACATAGAAAAAAATAGGGGGGGGGGAGCCTATCAATAGTTCCAAACCTATCTGCTGACCCTTATGAATGTTTTTCAATCGGGCCTGATGAGTGCTACACAGGCATTTTATAGACAGCCCTTTTGATGTCACCTCCCCTGAGAGAGTTACCTGCTTCCGGTCTGTTCCCCCAACAGCATCTCCCTCCCAGTGACAACACTGGTTATGAACCAATAGGTTAAAACACTTGCCCCAAGTTTGGAGGCTCCCTTAGCACTTTTTATACCCGTATGTCCTGTAGCAAAAAAATGCAGGGCTTTCCTGGTGGCCTGACACCTCCTCTTTTCCGACCCCCACATTACAGAGTTGGTGGAGTGGAGGATCTAGCCAGTCCTTCACCTAAATTCCCACAGCCCACCTGCCTGGCTCTGAGCCTGCACCCTCACGTCAAAGGACAAATGTTTAATAAATAGGTGATTTTCAAAATCAGACCATCATTCTAGGCTAATAATATCCAGATTGATGCTGCTGCCTTTGGGTTAAAACGTAAAGACCACGGCCTTTGGTGCACTGCCCTTCAGACCGGCATCCTGTGTGGCTCTCCCACTTCCCCAAGTTTGCCTGACTTTAAGGCCTGTGACCAGAGGTCAGCGCTCTCACACCTTCCATACTCTCCAGGGACTCCTGTTAGAGATTACTGGGAGTAACGGGAAGTCCACCGACTTCAGGGTCGCTGTCTTACTGGGGATCACCATGAATTAGAATCAACTAGATGGCAATTAACAGCAACAAGAACACTTTTAACTTGGTACATAGATATTAACATTTTAAAAAATTAGAGCATGCTATTGGTAAAACACCATTAAAACCAAACCCACTGCCAAGAAGTCAATTCCCACACACATCAACTTTAGTCAGGGTTCCTTGGGCTGTAAACCTTTATGGGAGCTGTTAGCCTCATCTTTCTTCCTTGGCGCAGCTGGGGGGATTTGAACCAATAGTCTTGCAGTTAGCAGTCCCGTGCTTACCAACACCACCACCAAGACCCCTTTTGATGAAACAGAACTCTTTGAGTCCACTTGCAGTTGTAGCTATCCTATGGACAGAGTAGAACTACTGCTGGTTTTCTGAGGCTGGGAATCTTTACAGAACAGAAGGCCCATCTCCCTCTCATGGAACAGCTGGTGGGTTCGAACTAGTGACCTTGTGGTTGGTTACCAGTCCAACAAGTAACCCAGTACACCACATAGGCCAGGCTTCATGAACTCTTTTTAAGGTTAAAAAAAAAATGTTTTAGGACAGTGGTTCTCAACCTTCCTCATGCCGTAACCCTTTAATACAGTGCCTCTTGTTGTGGTGGCCCCCCAACCATAAAATTATTTTCATTGCTACTTCCTAACTGTAATTTTGCTACTGTTATGAATCAGGTGACCCCTGTGAAAGGGTCGTTTGACCCCCAAAGGGGCCACGACCCACAGGTTGAGAACCACTGTTTTAGGAGGATTTGCAGCACATTGATGGTGTGAGACAAATTAACACTGTAAATCAGAACTTTGCCAGGCAGGACCTCTAATTGGTCAAAGAAGTAAACAGAAATAGAGGAAAGACCTAAGTGGCAAAAGACATTTATAGAGGCATAAATCTAGGCATGTGCATATGTAAATACATTAATATATAATGATAGGGATATAA